TAAATAGGAGTTATACGTATTATAAAATAAGTAGTTACTTAAACTCTCATTTGCCTTGAAGCCAATCTACATAATTCATCCAATCTTTCAAGACATTGGCAGCAGTCCATCACCGCCTAATTACACAAAGAACAGTCACCATTACTTATGCCACAGCTGTCTTTCCAGAAGGACACAGACGTATAACAATGTTTACCAAGCATTCCGAAGTGTTTCACCTCCAAAACTACAACCTAGCTAACCACACACAACTGAGCTTATGGAATAAGGGGATACCTTTCTCGGATCACATAACGCCCGAAATACATAATTATTATTGTTAGGTAAAAAGGACACAAGTGCAACTAATGTGATAGTATATTGTGGCAACGTTTCGCTCTCTACATTAGTTGCACTTTTCATATTAGTTGGACATGTGCCTTTTTACCTAACATATTGTCGGTAATTCTACCAACATAATTATATTTACTATTAATAGTAGTAGTATTTTTCATATAGAATAGCTAAACATGTGGGGGGTCACGCAGTATCTAGGGATGTGTGAATTAAGCTTAATCAAAAGAGGATAACTCCAGTGTACCAGATTTACTCAAACTGCATAACACCATCTCAACTTCTCTTCCGCTCTTTGAAATTATCTCTGGTATAGTGTAATATAATGTATTATTATTATTATTATTATCAAAAAGAAGTAATATAATGTAATATTTTATGACAATCTAATCTGTATTTATTAATATTACTAGATATGTAACAATTCAACATGTGTGATCAAGTGTTGTGATCCTCAAGAAGCAGAGATACAATCTGTTGGGTGTCTCAGCAGCAATATATCATTAGACTATAAGTCCATCAGTGGTAGTCCAGCAGATTCTCCAACTGATCAAGTGGTTATCTCCAGTGTTCCTCCCTGTGGGTCCATTGTTTTTCGTTATAGTTACGAATATTATCTACTTACTGATGGCAGCTTATATGAACCAGAAACCAGTATCACCTACGACAGTAACAGCTACTGCCTTGCAACAAAATATCAGGAAAGTAAGTATTTTTGTTGGAAATTATATATTAACATTGTTTTTATTTTGTAGTAATCATACAGTATTTACATTTACTTGGCGTCCACCTTATCTACAGTAGTTTCCTTATGGATTACAAGCAGCCTGTGACTTGTGAAATGTTTCGGGCTCAGTGTTTGTGACTCGGGTATCGCTAAACTTAGACTATTCACGGTATTTTCTAATGAATGTCTTGGGCTCTATATCTAAATTAAGGCGGCCAGTGAGCACAAATCACGACTTTTACACATAAAAGAAAACATCATATACTGCACAACAAACCAAGCAAGACATTGATGAAAACAGACCAGCATTTCCGTCTGTGCTGGAACATCACTCACGGCTTACAACAAATAGCTCTCGACATAAGTAAAGTTCGTAGTTTCCTCACCTATCACAGTGCCTGCGGAAAGGAATCGTCGAGAACATAGGGACGGGGGTGTAGAACAGACTACTGCTGTATATTTGCGTATGACAGATTCTTTAGTTTCTTACTGTCTGTCCTAATTCTATAAAGTGGAGTATAGTATACAATTGACATTGGAGTAATTGGCATGTTCAAGCTAGTTAGTTTAATTTGTTTATTATGCGCCCCATACCCATCCTGTGGGCGGTAGTCAAAAGATTACAGACGTACATAATTGGTCCAGGGACTGGACTCCAAAGTTTTGATAGCTGAGCAAGTTACAGAGGTAATGAATTCACAATTTACAAAGGTAATGAACTCACAATTTACAAAGGTAATGAACTCCAGGTAGGTCTGGTCACAATCATGTCAAGTTACAAAGGTATTTACAGATTACAGAGGTACGTAATGGGTCCAGGGACTGGGCCCCCAAAGTTTTGATAGCTGAACTAGGTACAAAGGTAATGAGCTCACAAGTTACAAAGGTAATGAATTCTGTAAGAATGGTTACTTACGTTTATACATGGCTACAATCATGAACAAATTATAGTGTAATGAGCAATTCACACTTCCACACCCGGTCACAACTGTAATGAGCTATTGGTGCAAATATTGATTGAGTCACACACACACACGCACGCAACCACAAATAGGTGAGGACACACACAGACACAGACAGACAGACAGACAGACAGACAGACAGACAGACAGACAGACACACACACTTTAGTTTAATATCTTTATTATGCACCCCATACCCATCCTGTGGGCGGTAGTCAAAAGATTACAAAGGTACATAATGGGTCCAGCTACAGATAGCTTTTTATGCGGGGTAAAGTGGTAGTAACGTCTGGAGGTATTGTTTCTGCATCCGTTTCCGTCATTTTTATCCTCAAATCTTCCACACTGATATTATTATTATTATTAATTATGTTATGGAGAGCGCTAAGCCCGTAGGGGTTATACAGCTCTTGTGGGAATGTAAGACATTCTCACTCGATTCAAGGGAATGGAACACAGGTAAACTCCAGTCCAATTTGTTAGGTCAAGAGCTCCTCACAGCATCAAGGAACCTCCCTTGAGGGACCACATAGGCAGGGCACTGTTCTAGTTCCCAAAGCACCAGTTTCTTTTATACAGTTTAGAAAACCAACTTGTATCACAGGCAGTGTCATTCGCAACATTTAAAACACATTTATTAATTTCAAGCTAAAAGACATGACAAGTTTGGGCTTCAGCTTTTCAGGCAAAGTATACATATTTCTCTCTTTTGCATATAGTTGAAAAGTGTCAAAATACAGCATATATATATATGAATGCTTATGTAGCTGTGCTCCTATCAGGTTCAGGTATATGCTCACTTTTTCCTGAGTGTATTACATTTCTGCAAACACTGGGACATTAGAAAATTTTGTTCCCTGGGATGTTAATCACATGATCACACTTTATAATAAATGTGGAATTTGCTAAACCGGTTTTTTTTCAAACATTTGTTGGCATCAGTTACAAGGTTTATACCTTCCGTATGGGAATTTTATATTACTATCTTAAAGGTCCAGTATCTACTATTAGAAATAAAATCATTCCCATATAATTCCTGCTTTTTTTTCAGATTTTGGAGCCTTTGTGTGCCCTCGTTTGCCATCCGAGATAGCAACAGTGAAGGATTACTTCCAGACAGTTGGTGTAATGATATCTGCTATATTCCTCACACTAACTATCACATTTCATATCTTCATCCCAAGTCTACGGGACATGCAAGGCTTATGTTTCTTGTGCCACATGTCATCACTTCTGGTTGCAGATTTGTCATTATTCACAGCCTATGTATATACGCCACAACTAAGTAAAATTCACTGCTTTATACATGGTAAGATTGTATGTAGATCCATTGTTTATTTCCTGTCGGTAATTGTTTTTATAAACTCGTCAGTCATTTCCCATCTAGTGTCTGGTGATCAGAGATAAATTCCTTGTACCCATATATCACCAGTCAAGACAGTTATAATTACTATATATACGTAAAAAGAAAAACTTTCGTTTTTCTTTTTAAATTTAGTAATTTAAATAGAAGGGTAGTAGTTACTACCCCATTGCTCCCGACATTTTAGTTGCCTCTTACGACACGTATGGCTTACGGAGGAAGAATTCTTTTCCACTTCCCCATGGAGATTATATATATGTATGTATATTTCAACACGTCGGCCGTCTCCCACCTTGACAAAATTTCTAATTAGTTCTTGAGAAATGCATAAAGTAGACTAGACTGACTCCCACGTAATGCCTCACTAGGGGTGACTGGGAAGTGGGGATAGAAGAATAATGGGGGTAAAGGGG